TGTATTAGTCCAGTAAACAGTTGAACAGTTGAACTCTTGATCCTCAGTCGACAGGTCCCTTAACAGTATCTGTCTATGTTCAATTACCGACTTCATCATGTCCCTGGAGCATGTTTAGGAAAAGCTGATGCTTTCTCATGTATAGATCAAGATGCATCTGAAGGTGGGGGTGAGCTTCCTGTGGAAGAAGTCCTTCTTCCACCTGAAGTCTTCATTTGAGCCATTCAGAACCTTGAACCCATCAACACCAACATCAGACAATGCATCTTGACCTATAAGGTAAAGGATAACATTGCCAATCATAGACTTTGGCTTGTATTACAGCATACCACACCCACAGACAAGTGTATTCCCCCAAATTGGGACATCCAGGATGACTTGTTACCATTCCAAGGATGGGTTTATATACCCAAAGATATCAAGCTCAGACAAGATCTCATTCAAGAAGCACACAATTCTCCTACTACAGGACACCCTGGATGATAAAAGACACAGGAAATTCTCCGGAGAAGCTACTGGTGGCCTACCCTTGCTTGTGGCATCACTGAATATGTCACTGGTTGCACAATCTTCCAAGCAAACAAGGCCATCACACACCAGAATTCACTAGATCTAGTACCTATCACACTGGAACACCATCTTCTATTCCAATCCATCACTATGGACTTCATCATGGATCTTCCTCAAAGCAGCGGTTTTGACAGTTACTTAGTGGTAGCTGACCATGACTGCACCAAGGTCTCGGTATTCATTCCCTGTAACAAGACAGTTACAGCATCTGAGACAGCTACCCTGTATCAGAATCATGTTTTCCGATGGTTTGGACTTCCCATCAAAGCTATCTCTGACAGAGGGCTACAATTTGCATCATGGATGTTCAGGGAGTTATACACTAAATTAAGCATCAAACAGAATCTCTCTAGTATGTTTCATCCTCAAACTGATGGACAGTCAGAATGTGTCAATCAAGACCTAGAACTATACCTTTGGATCTTTTGCAATCACTGCACAACAGACTGGATGTGTCACCTGCCATTAGCAGAATTTGCGCATAATAATAGGTATCATGATGCAATCAAAACATCTCCCTTCCAAGCACTTATGGGTTATCAACCCTGACATAATATTCCCACTGTGAGAACAACTGATGCCCCAGTGATAGGCCTGTGTAGCGCATGGGCACGCTTCAAGTTGAACTCAACATTTGAAGTGTTTGAAACTTCAGCCTTCAGGAAAGCCCGCAATACCTCAACATGAAATGTCTTCAAGCAAAGCCTGTTCTTTGACATCTTCAAAGCTTCGTGACCTCACTATGATCTGATTGGGATCTTTCAGTGGTGGCTTTATTCCGGGGGCTTGACTTCAAGTGTGAAACCCCATCATCCAGAGACTGGGACACCCAATACAGGGCTGCTGGGCAAACCTTTAGGTTGGTGCGCTCAGGTTGCAATGCCAAGATTTGCAACAGTCGGGCCTCCAAGACTAGCAGGGTGTGGCACATGGGATGGGAGTCAAAACTGATGGAGGTGTCGGACAGGAGTAGGAAGGATATCGGGATTGTTAGTCATGGTCAGGGCAGTGGAGGCAGTGACTTGGGTGGTTCGGGCAGGATGAGGGATATTTAAGAGTGGTTTTGCATGATTATAACGCAGCACTTGGCCCCTAGTGGCAAGACTCACGTGGAATCACATCTCCCACTCAGCAGAGCTCAGTCCAGCTTTGAACTTCTTCAAAGTGTTGCGCATTTCTATGAACTATGACTATGACCCTCCAAACCACGTCTACAACCATCAAACCACATCCAACCCTAGTACACCCCCTCCAAAGCACACCTCTGCATACAGCTAAGTACTCCAAAGCTCTGCTCCTACATCCAATCTTTGAACGAGACTTGAGTATCTTTTATTGAATCACACTTTGCATTTGAGTCATCAAGCCAGTTCCCTTTATCTTCCCTCCACTTCTACAAAGAAGTTGGAGTGTTCAGACAGTCCAAAACAGTCTCATGACACTATCCTGAGAGACATTGTGAAGTCATTGCCATTCAAGC